GTATAACTTTCTGTAACTTACAACTTACTATTCATATTTTACGCTTATGGCAAAGCTACTAAGCCTGTCTTCCGCCTTTCCTAATTTTTAACTATTGATTAGATGGAAAGCAACAAACCAATCAGCAGCACCCTACCAATCAACGACCACACTAAAGCATTAACTATCGCTGTTAAAGTACGGGGAATATTTTGGGTATTTTATGGATTTGGACCAACTTTGTAAACTTTGCAAATAAAATAAAAATATAACACACGCGAATTAAGATTTTTTGTTTCACTGGTTAAAACTATGTCCATCTTTTTTATCCTTCCTAACTTTAGCTCAGATAGTTTACAGTTGCATAATATTCAACGTGTATTTACGTTTGTTACGGCGTAGTAAAATAAAGTGCTTGAGTTATTGAGTATTGTATTATATGACGTATATCATATTTTGACTCATTTAAGACGTTTTTATCAAACTCATGTTCTCCGTTCAATGTTTCATATCAAGTTATTATATAATTTTCTATTCTTCCTGGATCTAATGAGCTAGTTTCTAGGGGTTTTCTATAAATCTTCATATATAAGCTATATAGTCGATTTACGAACGTTTGAATGAGTATGTTTTTATGTTAATTAAATCGAAAGAAGTTTTTTATTCATCAAAAGTATTTACTTTTATTACCACTTTATACGTTTTGTTTAGTCATCCACTCGTTCAACGTCTTTTACTTATTTTTACATGTTAATTATCTATCAAAGGTATTTACTTTTATTACCACTTTATACGTTTTGTTCAGTCATCCACTCATTCAATGTCTTTTACTTATTTTTACATGTTAATTATCTATCAAAGGTATTTATTTTTATTACCACTTTATACGTTTTGTTTAGTCATCCACTCGTTCAACGTCTTTTACTTATTTTAACATGTTAAATATTTAATAGTAAAATGAGCTACTACTTTTTAATAACTCATCGATAATAGTTTTATTATTTGGTTGAAAACTTTGGGCTTTTCGTAAACCATTATAATTTTCAGACTTTTCAACATGCTTTCCGTCATGTATATCTCTAAATGAAACTACAGAAAGTATCTTTTTTTTTTTCTCAACAAAGTTTATTGCTTCTTTCAATATGTTGTACACTAACTTGCATTTTACTCAAATGTCCAATATTATATTTAAAAAAAAGAGAGAGGAAAATAAATAGTTTGTGTATGGCAAAGCTACTAAAGTTATCTGCTGCCGTTCATAATTTTGAATTGGCGACCAGAGAATGGTAAATGGCCGACAACACCCACCGCCAACTCTTAGACTAATGTTTACCAGTAAATAGTTTGTGTATGGCAAATCTACTAAAGTTATCTGCTGCCGTTCATAATTTTGAACTGGCGACCAGAGAATGGTAAATGGCCGACAACACCCACCGCCAACTCTTAGACTAATGTTTACCAACATATGGTGGGTTTGACCGTCATCTTATAATGCCCATACGGCTGAAAAGGCGAATATGTTCGACGACGGGTTGCAAGTCGATGGGGAGAGAAATAAAAGAATGCCAGTTTACGAGTTTCAGTATTCAGCATAATATAGTTTTAAGTCATATGTTTTCTCTGAAACTTACGGTTTTCATTCGCTCCCCTCGAACAAGTAGTTTTCAAAATATAATAATTTTAAACATGTAGTCTACCTCTATAACATTCAAATTCCTTGTACTGATAAGCTTTGTGAATCTTAGGATCTAATGACTGCTGTTTTATGTTTTGTAATGACTTATTTATGGTGAGTTTATTAATATTATTGGTTATGTTGTTGAAATTCAAAATATTTTCGAATATTTGTTTAAATAAGTGTTTACAGTTATAAATGTGATAATACACTGTTAACATATTATAAAGATTTAGTACTAAATTAAGCATTATATGAAATATTTTTGGGATTAGGGCAGAAAATACTGTTAACAGTGAGGGATCTTAAATGATGACTCAACGCATTCTTATAGTTTAGTATTGTTGTATGTGAAAGTTAGGATATTAACTATTATACATAATTGTTTTCATGAATTCCTGTTACTTTTTATTAGTTCTAATTTATACAGTTATCTTACTTGCAATCACAGGTTCTTAATAATTTGTTAACATCTTTGTCTTTAATACTTGTTCATAAATTAATTACTTACTTCATGCAAGACATTTCCATTATTTTAACTATTAAGAAACGTCTGTCAGATTTTCTTACGTCTGTCAGATTTTCTTAGTATTAGCTTTAATATGAACTTAGACTTAATTTTGAGTCATGTCTTTGGTTGTTATCTTTTGTCACTTTGATCCTAGAATGTCTAGTTTAACCTTTAAACATAATTGCTCAGTTATTTGATACAGTTTTGCCACAATTATGCGGATTATTTAATGTTATTATGTGTTAAACAGCTAGTAATGACTTCATCAGGGATTGATCTTCCACAAATAAATATATTTTCGAACGGCTAGTTCGACTACACGAATTCTTTAAACGCTAGCGAGATTTAGGAAATATTGTATTCATTCATTCATTTTTTGTCAAGAACTTACGTCATGGTTCGAAGAAAACTCTCTGTTTTTGTTTCTCGCTCTCACTTTAAAATACATACACACGTACACAAACCGTATTATATTTATATACTTTTATATAAACACCACGTAAACACACACACACACGTGTTTAATTTTCACAGTATGTAGATGTCCTATGCAGGTGTTTCAGAGTATTTCTACCACGGATATGTGTTATTTTCTTGTCAAATAATTAATTATTACCGTTCTTTCAAGAAAATGAAAATATTACTAATCCTCGACTGATTGCTTGTTTATTGCATTAACAACAATGTATGGTTAAACATATACATATAACCTAGGTTAAGAGTATTACCTTTTTCTTCGATGATATAATGTGAAAACATTGTTGCTTGTGAAAGTGTGGAATATATTTCTATGATGTGTATATCTTTCACAAACTACTGAAAGTTCCCATTATATTATCACATGTAAACCAAACAAGGATATGTATATCTTTTACAAACTACTGAAAGTTCACGTTATATTATCAAATGTAAACCACACAAGGATATGTATATCTTTTACAAACTACTGAAAGTTCACGTTATATTATCAAATGTAAACCACACAAGGATATGTATATCTTTCACAAACTACTGAAAGTCCACGTTATATTATCAAATATAAACCATACAAGGATATGTATATCTTTCAGAAACTACTGAAAGTTCCATTATATTATCACAAGTAAACCACACAAGGATATGTATATGTTTCACAAACTACTGAAAGTTCACGTTATATTATCACAAGTAAACCACACAAGGATATGTATATCTTTCACAAACTACTGAATATCCATTATATTATCAAATGTAAACCAAACAATGATATGTATATCTTTTACAAACTACTGAAAGTTCCCATTATATTATTACATTTAAACCACACAAGGATATGTATATCTTTTACAAACTACTGAAAGTCCACGTTATATTATCACATTTAAACCACACAAGGATA